AAAAAAATGCAAAATGCCCGGCAAATGACATTGCACGACATGTTCAAGGACTAAAGTTAAAACTGTTTTTTTTCGAGATAAATTGCGTACATATCTGGAAGGCGTACTTAAACGGGTGCGTACTCAAGCGGGAGGCTACTGTACCAGTGGGCACGAACGTGTAGTTGAATTTCAGTTTTTTCAGCTTCGATTATCTGTTTAGTTCACGAATTGGAGCTACTTACATCAGTATATGCATCTGTTGAGCTCATGATTTGCATGCTTAAAGCTATACGTTTGTGGACTCGCAGAGCAGACGACGTTTCGCACAGCGATTTTGTCAACGTATCTCTCACAGAGAATGGCCAGATTACTATTATTCATTGCCGAGTAAGTGATTTTTGTTAAAGGCATTAGCTTCGTCGACTTAAATTGGTGGCAGATGTATTTTTTGCGTCGCTCCTGCTATGATATGTCACATGTCCCATTGGGACATTGCTTATCGATTAGGTGCATAACACAGTGCACAAATCATAGGCAGCATCTGTGGGGCTTCTGTAAGCTTTGGAGGTCACGGAGTTAATTAAAAACAAATATTTCTCGGAGTTAAGAAAACAAATATTTTGCACGCCTGCATTACGATACACTACCACAAAAATTGCTTTGTTACAGCACTGACCTATCGCAAATCAGCTCGGCCACTCTTTGTTACAATACGGAGGATTCAGTAGTTTGAGACCCATGATATTCCCTACGGAGCTTGGTCGTACAGCCCCGGGAGCGCAATGATTTATACCTAATATGTACAATAGTTAAGCACTTATGTGCACACATCTTGAACGTGTCGACTACGCAGCCCTATTGACACGCTTCGGCAGCCTCGGTCAGTAAGTCAATATTGACAGAATCCCGACAACATTTCGTGATCTTTATTTTGTTCATTAGAAGACGCATTCAATAACACCGGCGCCGTGGTCTTGGCAGACTACTTGGATACGATGTCTAATCTGTTTGTTATTGTCAACATTGATGAAACAGTTATGTTGATTAACTTTTAGTTGCAAGTTATATTGTCATCATGGCTCACTGAGGCACATTGTTTTGAGTTAAGATCCACGCTCTACAGGAACGGTTTGGTGGGCTGTGTTTAAGGTGATGGGAATCATCCTGAATATGACTATCCGCGGGCAGGTGGCGAGACAAAATCCTTCAACCGTGTTGTGGCAAATTTACTTCGAAGCACTTGTATGGTGAGACTGTGATGCTGTATCAAATTGCTCCCACTCATGGGTTTTGCAATTCAATACATACAGATACAGGATTTACACGTTTTCGTCATTCCCCGTCTTCGTTTTACTCCGCCACAAAGTAGCTCCGATCTTGGTTTGGTGTGTAGTTGATGATACGAATCGAGTCGCTAATATCAGTCCGGGTACTCTAAGAAGAGAAATCAGAGATCTAAAATTGCAATTCATTTGCCGAGCGCATGAAGCCATAGAGGATAGCCAAAATGTAAAGAAATTACAAGCAGATGCTTGAGACGGATGTATTCCACATGGATAGGTAGTGGGTTAAAGATTTACAGAAAGCGACTAATTCAACATGGCATGCAGTGTCTGCAGCCGTTTAAACTGAGATGTGCCATACTTCATCAGATTGTTTGCGGTTGGAGCCAGAAACGAGTTTAATATTTCTCTTGACGAGATTACAAACACACCCTGAATATGTCGAGCCGTATCTCGACCCGTTCATACGAGCCATTTGAAGGCAAGCGTTTTGTCAAAGACAAATTAAAGTCTTAGACATCCCTGTAACTGATGTATCATTTGCTCTAGAGCATAAATACGACTCTAAAGCTCTCACATGCATCAAATTCATCGATCGATTGCGTGATTCAGCAAGCCATCCGGAAAGCGGCTTATGCAAGTATCAGCGTTAATTGGGACAGTTATGTGCCACTAGCATCCAGAGTCAGCCGAGGGAGTATCGCCATCCTCCGGCTACATTTGATAAGCAGCAAAATTCTTCTATATCGTGCAGACAGTGGGTCGGTGGGTTTACTAGAGACAATCACAATATCTGGTGGAGTGGAAGAGCTATCCGTGCTCAAAGAACTTCTTAAGATCTAAGGTCTCGCTTTGGCAAAATTGCCGTGGTACCGTTGTTGCTACTGATTCGGTGTACCCTATGTCTAAACTTCATTGAGGAGACGATACGGAATAGCGCAACACGACACGCTTCCTACTTCGACTAATTCCCAAGGTAAGACTTAACCGGTAGCTGTCCACACAGCCTTTAAGAACAAGGAAGGTCGGCTACAACGATAATTAGAGGTGGTAAGCGCCCACATCAACACCATTTTGCTTTGTATCTGTAGAGTCAAACATCACGGAAAACAGTAGTAGGACGGCTAGTGTACAAAAGCTGGCTCGTAATCAGAATTCTGATTGGTTGACATGCATTCTTCACCCATTTTTCGAATGTAGTCATGTACGCATTGGTTCTTTCTCCAGCCTTCAGTTCCAGAAGAGGATCTAAGCGGAAGATATAGATTTGAACTCACCTCTTCTGCTTTAAGAGCACCAGACAGCTTTTGATCTATCAAAAAAATGCACTGAACTATACATATTTAGCAACCGGGCGTTTCTCGCCGGACCAAAACGCAGCATTCGAGAGTACCATGTACTCAGTTAAAGAGCAAAACGTGCGCTTGAAAGTCTCTTTGTAAAGCGTTGTGATCCGCAGAGCATGAGATCGTAAATACGATGTGATACAATCGATGGTGACTGTCTGAGCTTGCAGATCGGCAAGCTTAGCCCACTGAGTCAGGTCCATAGCAATAATGGCTAGTCTTAACCCGACATGAGTCTCGCGGTGAGATGTCGTATTATCTTCTCCGCTGGATACAAAAGCGGAGCGCACAACTCGTGCCGTAAAAAAACAGTTGAGGAAAGAAATCCTGGTGCGGCTAACCATCAAAAAGCTGGTACACGAGTATGCAGTCAAGAGGTCAAACTCATTCTTGGAACTTTGAATTAGCGCTCTGTCTTGATATATGACCAAACTTTTATGACACCAGTGAGATCCCTACCTTAATGAATAGCGGTATAGCGAGGTACGTCGCTATAAAGTCATACGTATATATTACCCTAGTGTAAAGATAAGATCAAAATCACAACTACGTGAACTACCATAATGGAGCATTATGATGAGTTCTCGTTCCTGATGAATCATATTGGAAGGAGAGATCCGTTGTTACTTGGGCTACTAGTCAACGCTATGCATTACGCTGGGTTTGACAGGAACAGATAGTATATTGAGAACGCTTATAGTGTAATTAACAATTCAAACTGTATATTGAGAGAAATGAGCTTTTTTCGAAAAAGACTCTCGGCTCTGCATCTAGGTGGTGCGTAGAAATTAATCATGTTTGGCAATTAACAAAGTCGTACACTAAGAGCTTCGCCTTTGCGAGGTTCCTTGCGAAAGTGTTGAAGTCAGATATCGAAATCCCGCTCGTTAGTAATTGATATATTTTATGAGGGTGCTGTGTTGCAATCGCATCACAAAATAAGGTAATTGTGGTGTTATAAACTCTAACTTACAAACACATGTCAATCGGCATCAAATTTTGACAAACACAAACAACAGAAACTACATGCTACCTATTCTACAAGGAATGCAAAAATAGTTCAGCATAAAAAACAATGTTATATAACGAAAGGGTCAAGCAAAGTATATAGTTGGCGAAGAGCAGCCACATTTGATCTGTGCATACGCTGAAAGCAGCCTCGGTAAGTCAGAACATTTGAAATTTGCTGACAGTGAACAATCATTGCTCGTCTGAAAAGTGATGCCCACACACTCATTATTTCGATTTTATTGCTCAATATCTTCATGCCATGGACATTGGCTGAATGAAATTGAATCAGGGATAATTCCAATATCCATTGTGCAACGGGATTGTCGTGCACGTTACAGCTATGAACCTTAACCCAGCGAGCCTACGTCGGTTAACACATAGAATATGACACGCAGAAGCGAAAAAATGGCTCTCATGTAACCGAAAGAACTTATTTGTCTAACTATCATAAAAGCGACATACACAAGTTTTTATTTTTTATGAAACTAATAGTGATTTTATCTGTTTGCTGTGCTCAAGAACAATTTTTCATGAAGTGCATGACGTGAGGCTAGAAGCACCCGTCTTTCATGGGCCCTCCTTCACGATGTCACATTGTCTTCATCAGCAGAAATGTTTTGGTATTTTTAAACTTCTCGTGAAGTTGCAATTGAGACTTCGCATCTAATACGCTGCAAACCCTCTTATCCCTTCCTACATCACGATATGAGCACACATAGATTCAATTTGAGTGTGCAATACAAGGCACTGTGCAAAAGTAAGCGCTGAATAAATCTCTTTTCTTCTCAAAACCTTCAGCTCTTAGAGCTTCCTCCTCCAATTGCTTGTTACAGCGCCTGTTTGAACAAGCACCGGTTGCCTTGTAGTTCGTCTTCCAATCGTGCTCCTGTGGATTAATGAGGCCTTAGGAAAGGCGCGAACACTTCTTCTGACGACCTACAAGCCAGTATCAGCGAAGGTCTTTATCGATTTGAATGATTTTAGCTACTCTCCCAGACCGAAATTGGCACCAAGATTCTCACTAAGAGATACACAGCCATTATAAGCACTCCACGAGCTTTGTGCCGTTTTTTAAGTCGAAGGTGATTCGATATTCCACCGCTGAAGAGTCGACAACGTCGGCTCGGGACCTAGAAAAGTTATGTACCTCAGCAAGCCAAGCTTAGCCGTCTATAAGCGCAAGAGTAGAAAGATCTTTTGCAGATCCCATTTGTTCATGATTATGGATTTAATCCATTAGAAGTTGTTTGCAGCGCCGTGGTGGAGCTCTTACGCATCTGCTTTCCGCCCAAACAGAGAGTATAATTAGCACTTCCAAGTCGTCTTGAAGCGCTTTCGATACACCCACCAGAAGTACCGCCTGTGTTTAGAGCCGCATTGGGCAGGTAATTTTGTATTCTTTTGAGGATCGTATCTTTTGCTTACAAGACACATCAAAAGCAGGCTTAAGAGTGCAACGTCGCTAATGTGTTACATGCGATTCCAAAGCACGACCCTGGCGCCTCAAAATTCTAATGCCAACAGTCGCACTCACCTCCATGATCTTGCTTACACATTTTCAATTATACACAAGCCTAGAAATCGCTCGCTAGTGTGGAGCGCTATGCGCTGATCGACCCTGCCACCGGGAAGATTAAGACAAAAAGTGCGTCAGGTCGTAAGGGGCATGGTTAGATCTCAGGCCCTCATGTTTCCCGGAGTACGGATGCTCTTCCACTCCAGCAAATATCGACTACAATTGTGCTGAGCTCGCCGGCCCTACGCCCACTTCATAATTATCTCTTGCTAAACGAGCAAATTCTGTAGAACATGATTTCCCTATCTATTACTTGTGTGCTCGTAAGGTTGTAACGGTATTTTGACTCTCTATCCAGGTTTTTCTGCGTGTGGTCGCTATTGAATGGGTTACTTTATACAATCTCTATGCTACATTATCGTACGGAGTACTTGCAGCGGCTCGGAACTACAAGGTACATGGTTCGTTTCGAATGGCAATTGCGAAAGAGACAAACTATGATGAAGCGAGCACCTTACACTGCTGGTCCAACATGTATAAGTAAGTGGGCACTTTTGTGCGTACATGCGAAACGTATCGGTGAATATAGCCCTCACCACATGCATCACCTCCGTTGGCCAGTTCAAAATTTAGACATTTTATTTATCAGCATGAACTTTAGCGTTCGGCTTTTGTGAGACGCCTTGGATATTATAAGTATTGTTGTCGTGATCGACCATCTGAGAAAACTGCCTCGCTTCATAGATGTCGGCAATACTGGTGCTGGTGATTGTATATTACTCGGCAAATTTTAGGCGCCATTTCAAGCCGGCGGTTATACTTCGCAGCAGTTTTATTTGAGCGTTGCTTAAAGTGCTGACACCAGATTGGACATGACCATGCGGTGACGGATGGTCAAACGCAACGCGTTACTCGTATAGTAAAGGATATCCTCCAAAGCGCTTGTCTGGAAAGGCCGAGGTGCTGGGGCAAACCTTGAAGGTTTCTGAATCTGCTTCTACTTATGCGGTACACCTTCATGTCATCCTATTCAAATGATATTCCGTTTTTCTTTGACACCACTACCAACTAACCCTGGTACAAGGGTGTGAAAGCTGTCAATTTAATTAAGATCGTCATTTTCAGTGAGGTTACAATTCGTTGCAGAATGACATTTTCTTTTTTCGACAATATTAAACTTTGTGCATCGAGCGTGACAGATTGTGAAGAAGCACACGGAGGCACCAAAGCCGAAACAAGGAACCCATAATTTACAGTGAATGGAAACCGTCCATTAGAATTTGCTAGCTGACCAACTCATGCAGTGCCTGTAGTCGAAAAGTCTCGGTGCGGTATCGCTATACTAGACATTTACGACCATTGCTAGAAAAAATTGAGCTACACTCCATAATCCGACGGGAATGCAGAGCATTTCGTGGTTTAAGTGGACTTATAAAACACAATATCCTATTACGAGCAAGTCAAATGCGAGAAATCCGCTGAAGGCTAATTCACGATTCAGCAATTCATGCTGAACTGCCTTCTGCTTTGAGCAATTCGTACAGCATGACTTAGATCCTCATCGTGAGGCACTACCGCACGTTGATCACTATTGAAATACAGCATACCTTTAAATTAGGCGCAGCAGTGCTACCAAACGCTTTGACAATGCAGTCTCTGGGCAAATATTTCAGCGACATAACGCGTGTTGTGTCTAACCATTACACTGTACGTACCGCTAACACCTTTGGGTGACGTCGCCATCGTAGTATGGGGCTGATCATAGTCGGGGCGATGCAAAAGAACATTCGCCATCACTTTTTGTTGGCCTTGTTAAAAAAAATTCTTAACAAGAACGGACAACAACATTGACGTTATCTGCGAGATGGCTGTTCGCAGTGGCACATGATCTGTATACCTTTATCATGATAATTGCACTATACTTGTGCAAATTGTTGGTCAGGCGGAGATACTTTCTGAAGTCCATTTGGGCCGTAATTACTAGCCAAACGACGTCTTTGTGGTTTTTGCCCGCAATCCATGTTTCTAAACGAAGCATTCCAGAAAGGTTTTCATCAGTGCCAAAGGCATGTGTGCATATGCTATAGAGTATGGTTTTTGCTCATTAACTCACGCACTGCTTCGAAGTTTTTGATGTGGTCCTCTACATCCAACTTTCCGTGCTTTGCCCGACCATGGACGAGTACATCGTTAAAATAGGCTTGTGCATAGCCATGATGTGGCCTGACCAGCTAAGTATCAGATATGTTGCTGGTACATTCGACAGTCCTTGTGACAAAGACAGCTACGCCCAGAGCGATCCGCTCGTGGTACTTACCGTAATAAAAGAGACATTACTAGCGGTCGAGGTATTCATCATTCAGACTGATAGCGCTGATAAAGCGCAGCCGATCGTACTGCTTTGTGGCAAATTCTTTATAAAATCGGGCGTTCGCAAGGGCTATCGCGGTTGCATTGTGCTTATCATAAGCAAGAACATTTCAACACCTGCTTATAATCTTTCTCACGCAGAAAGTAGGCACCAAATGGAGACGTTTCTCCCTCTTTGTAGTAGCGCCACATTGTTCCCTCGGTCACTGTCATTGGCTTGTGACGCAGCAGTTGAGTCCAGGATTCAAATCAATTTTATAACGCATTCACCCCCCGGGGCGACATGCAATGCGCGTCTCTTATCACCACAGTTTGCTATCAACTCAACAAGGGGTATGAAGGATCCGTGGGAACCTTGTGGATAGCTATCATACTCGTTGTAGTCATTTTTTGCTAGTGTCTTCAATATCCGACAGATCAACGGCTTTTTATTAGCTCATCTGCTCCTCTGATATCAATCGAGCTATTTCGGTGTTTTCCTTTCCTTTCATTTATTTGCAAAAATCTGCCAGGAACAGCTCAAAGTGGGCTTCGACCGGGTGTGGCCAAGAGAAACTTCAACTCTTCGGACTAATCGACCACTCCATTTACGAGTGAAAAATCATTGCCGCCGCTTAGCCATGCTGTTTCATCGCATTAAATGATGAGCCTGGCACAATTACTCAACAGTATCGATACACCGTAACAAGGACGAGCCGTACATTTTTACCCAATCGTATGACACTAAACTTGCAACCTTCACCACACACTTGCTCGTAGATGTCACCGTCTTTGGCACGGAGGCCGCGATGCACAGCTACTCTCCGCCAACACTCGCAAGGATAAACTAAATTACAGCTGTTACCAAAAGTCCTACACAAAAATCACTCTGGGGTCCACGGCATAGAGTCGATCATTTCTGTCTAGGCAGAGGTACACGATCACTTTTCACTGACATTTATTAAATTTGCGACTCACTGCCACCTCTGTCGAACGAGATCTGCTCGGAGCAATGAGAAACATATTTGCTCAATATTTCAGACAATCTCATGCCTTGCTTGAATTTGTTGTAACTTCATGCTCGCGTCAAGAGTGGAAAGGTAGAGGTGGATTCGTGATTCACCAAACCTTCTCCAGCAGAGAAATTTGTGGCACTGATTTTTTTAATTATATGTGACTTATGTCTCACACCTCGGATAATAACAACTTTTGAGAGCAAGAAAACGTTTAACAATGTCAACAGCCTCACATTGGCTTAGGGAATTTTGATGGAAACATATCCCCGTCGCAAGATTCATGGATACTGTAATCGTTTCCTCAATGGCTCCGCATACTGTGGAATATTTTTGACAGCAGCACGGCTTACATAATTGCAGAATATTTCTAAATATACCACAGCTTTTTGCGGCTTGACATAGCTCAGGACGTTGATGTAAACAGTCAGTTAGAAAAAAACTTTTTACTGTTGGCTTTGACAACCATAAATTACAAAAGAACTAGTTTTCCCTAAGTTTTAGCTGCCCTGGGCCTGCTGAGACTCGACATTTCCCGCGAAGAATTAGTCAGGCGACTTAACGTGGAAGGTTGACCCTTCATACCACTTAGTCAGGAGCAGCAGCGGGGCTGCCGTAGCTCTTTGCTTGGAGGTAGCCAAGCTAAGGCCACCGATCTTACGTCTATCCAATAACCAGATCGAGTGTAGCGGATCGCAATCCACTACTCAAAAGCCTTAACCACTCCGAACGCAGCCGATACGCTTTTCAAGAGATGCTATCAACCACGGATAGACCCTTCCTTTTTGGAGAGAAAAGTTTTGATAGCAATTGATTAAGACATGCCCCAGATGGGGATCAGCGCGGCGTGCTTGCAGTCGCTAAGTGAGCTGTCCGCGCGCAAGAATGAGCACTAATATATCGTAAAGGTATTTACAACATGAAAACATCCAAATCAGTAGATGTTCTTGTCTTTCCGACACAGAGACGGGAACTAGCGGGCTATGTCCAGAAGTTGGGAACTCCCATCACCCTAATGACGTCAGACCAACTCTTAGGGGCATCGACAATTCCTATCCTCACGTTGGTTCTTCGAACGGGTGCGGCTGGCATCGAGACCTTCCGTGTGCGTATTTGTTGCTGCTTACATAGAACTGGATGCTCATCATCGGCAGCCTCATCATGTGTGCCATCTGTGCTTCCACTTACACCTGGTCGAGTCATCTTTGCATGTTTCTCGCCAGTGCATTTTCAGTGTTGGTGAGGGCCTCTAGGCAAGTGAGTAACAAATCTGGTTCCTTGGGTCGTGAGCTCGATGATCTCATGGGATTAATAGCATACAAAAGTTTCTTTAGCCGATCGGGTACAGGATATCAAACAAACGTGTTGCATTCTCGCAGAAAGTACAATGCTCACATAAGTTGGTCGTGCGACTAACAACAAGTGCTGCCGGATACAAACAGATTTACCAATCACTTTGCACAGAGAAGGCTTCGACACAAAGATTCCGCACTAGCAAACATACAGAGGTTGGTTTCGTACGCCCCACCTAGGAGCGAACCCGAAGATTTCTACTGTAAGGAATTACCTGGGTTACCCAGGAAGGACATATCTTAGTTAGAATTCGCCCAAACTCATACTAACTGCTAATATCTTTATCAGATTCTGTCCGGACTTACGTTAAGGACATGCCTTCCCGAATCAGATATGTAACACAGAGTTCCAGATACCGGAGCTATGGAAGTCCTCCTTTTCTTACAATGATGTATAAGATGCATCTACACATTGATACAGTACGCACCCGTTATGACCAATTGTCAGAACACATCAGATTTCAGCACAGCTACTTTAATTTCACTTTCTCCGTGCCGCCCATTGCTACCTTGAATATGTCGGTATTTCGCCAGGCCAGTACGAAACTTACTTAAAAAGATGTGCCTTATAACCAGCAAATTGTGTACACTTACTTAATGATGTTGTGTGAATGTACGTTACATAGCCCTCACTGGTATCAAGAGATAGATCGGTCGGAATAATGCTACTGAGTTTACTGGCGTCGGCGTTGTGCCTAGCTGCTTCCAACGCGTTATATGCCGATCAGGCTGGTGAATTTGACTGGAGTCTAAAAAATTTGGGACGAATTCAGGCTGTAGCTTTCGGGGGATTTGTGGCACATGGGCCGCATTTAGTCGTGTCCAGAGGCACGACTAGAGCTGTGTACGTAGCATCGGACGAGCGGTCGCGAGCTCTAGCACGCTTAGACTCCAAAACTGGCGATATCCACTGGCGCCACGTATTTGCTGAAGGTGAGAAATCATATCTCAGCTTTATCTTCCTTCGGACGACGCATTGACTTGACGTGATATTTTGTTAAGGGGATACCATCAACGACATTCAGCTGACCAACTATGGACTACTATCAGTATCAGGGTACGTGGCGGGTTACTAACATTTTAGGAGAATTGTCTCTCACTTTTTTCTCACCGATATAGAGCCGGCCACAATTTGAGACTATGGGATCTTTCGACGGGTGTACTGTTATGGGATGAAGTGACTAGTGCGGGTTCAGCTCGGAAGAATGCTGTCTTTGGGGGTCTATTCGCACTAGATGTTGATCACTCGGTAGTACTGACGTCATCCAGTGTGGCTATGATTAGTGTCCAAGATGGTCAAGTGAAGGTGCAGACACTACCGGAAGATTTCACGAATGAAGCAGTGAAGACTGGAGTGCTGTCGTGGCAGATCAAATCGGACAATACAATGCTGTATGTGCTCGCCGGCAGTCAAATGTTGGAGGTTGAGCTTTCCTCAGGGCGCATTATAAACCATTTTAACCGTCCAGAGATCAAAGAGCAAGATAAGGGAGACTTGAAAGCTACGACTGTGCTGCGTCGTGACAGTGAGGAAGGCAAGACTATTGCGGTAACGCTAACTAAGGACAAGTTACTGCTGCAAGCCCTGGAGAGCACGAATGATGCGCCAGAGATTGCTTTGAGCTCGCTCGAATTAGATGGCGACCTGGTCATGGCGATCGACACGAGTATTTCAAATGCGTTGGTTCTCTGTTTGGACTCGGGAAAGCGTGCGATTCTAACAATCTCGAGTGCCTTTAACGTGGAGGTTGCTTCGATTGTGAGTGCTTACGGAGATTTAGTTGAGTCAGATACAGACGACGCTGTACTGTTCAATGCTTCTCCAATGGAGACAGGCAACGGGGTGAATATCGCGTCATTCACGTTACGAAAAAGCATTGCTTTGGTTTCGTGGAAGGTTGAGTTGAACTTGTCCCTTTTTGGTAGCGATGTTTCTCGTGCATTCATAGGCTGCCATGATGCGAAAAAAGATCTGGCTCCTCGTTGTCATGCTGTGCTTGTTTTGAAAGACGATGCTTTGCTTATGACATCGAATGACATGAAGACAAATGATGACAAGACGAATATTCAGTGGATGCGTGAAGAAGCTTTGGCCAACGTTAAATGTGTGCGCTGGATAACGCCAGCAGAGACGGAAATTGAGAAAACGGCGTTAACGCGAATCCCATCGTTTACAGAGGAACTGCAACTTGAAATGAAGCACCTACAGCAACTCGCAAGGAGGGTCATGACATTGTCCTTAACGCTTTTTGAAGATGATTCTACTCAACTTGGCGTGGACAGATCTCGTGTTGCGCGTAAGGAACCACCGAACGCACACTTATTCGGATTCTCTAAGTACATCATTGTATTAACTGAAAGTGGCAAGTTATTTGCGATTCGTGCTGAAGCTAGCACAGTGGCGTGGGTTGTATTCGTTGGTCCGGATTATCAACTCTTTGTGACGCGTGATCATCCGGCTCTTGGCTCAGGCGCTGAGTTGCTGCTAGTCTCCAGCTCGACAGATCTCATTTGGCTTGATGGTGACGATGGCCATCAGGTGGATACAGCTCAGGCCGGTGTTGCGTCTGGAGACTCGTGGGTGGTTCTTTTGCCCAAACGAAAGCATTTGGCTACAGATGAAGAGCTTGTTGCGCGCCGCAGTGTGGCTTTCATTGCAGAGAACACGCTCAAAGTATCGCTATATCCCAGAGAGACAGCAGGCTTCGTTCACCCGGAACTTCATCAATTCTTTTTCTACCGTTACGACAAAATATCTAACGCCTTTCGTGGGTATTACATCAAGAATGAAGGTGATGTCATGACGACTGACTATCGTGCACGAGAGTCCTGGTCGATTGTGCTTCCGCGTGATCAAGAGGTAATTGCGACTTCACACCATCACGATCATTCGGTGGTCGACTCCGCGGTGACCATTACAGGCGATGACTCGTTGCTGATAAAGTACCTTAACCCAAATCTGTTTGGCCTTGCTACGATTGCGACAGAAAACTCAAATGAAGCTCATAATTCAACCTCTGTGCTTTACGTGAGTCTGATCGATTCTGTGGCGGGGCGGATAATCCATCGTGTGCATCACGCAAACGCCTCGAGTCCTGTTCGCATGGTGCAAAGCGAGAATTGGTTAGTGTACTCGTTCTGGAATATTAAGGAGAAACGTACGGAGATGGTGTCTCTGTCTTTGTTTGAAGGTGCAGTGGGTATGCATTCGCTAAATCCGTGGAAGCGTCCATCGTGGCCGTCATCGCGATCGTCGTTCGACCCGAAAGCCCCATTTGTGCTTCAAAAGAGCTTTATCTATCCTACGAAGATCACAGTACGTGCTTATTTGATAAATTGGTTCTTGAATGTCGGCACTCATCAAAATTTCATCTTGTTTGTTTGTCAAAGTCACTTGGAGTGACGGTAACAGCTCATGGCATCACTCCGCAATCCATCCTGGTAGGAATGGAAACTGGCCAGATCTTTCAGTTGACTCGCAATCATATTGATCCGCGCCAACCGGAGAAGCCGCTTACAGCTGAAGAACAAGCAGAGGGCTTGATGATGTACTCGCCGTTGGTACCCGTTTACAACCGTCCACAAGCCATGCTGACGTACAACCAAACAGTGGAAAATGTAAATGCCATCAGCACAGCACCCGCCGAGCTCGAGTCGACAACGCTTGTCTTCGCGCATGGTCTTGACATGTTCTACGTTCGCATGGCGCCTGCCAAATCGTTTGATCTGCTCCCGTCCGACTTTAAGCACGAGATGCTTATCCTGCTTTGTTTAACGTTCCTCGTAGTAACATTCGGTACAAAGACACTCGCACAACGCAAAGCGCTGCAGGCTGCTTGGAAGTAATCGTACAGTTTGGTATGCCAGTAAATAGAAAGCAGTAAAAAAAACTTGCAATTTGCTGATCCCTACAGTAAGATTCTTATTTAGATGCCAAGTGATAGCCATTGTAAATGCTGCAGCTCTTATGCAAGAGATTCATTAATGGCCACTAGCAGAACTTCGGAAAGACCAGTGGTTGGGACGACGGCCATCCAGACGTGCTTTACGATCAGCCCGCTGAAGCACCTCTAGCTTCACCTTCCACTCTTGCGATTCGTCCAGGTCTCCGACCGCCAGATAGTGCAGATCCTCGCGATGTCGCGAGTCAGAGGCCAAAATTCTGTCTTCTGGATACGGCACCATGAAGCCGCTATGATGCTTGTTAATGCTCCAATACGTCGTATAGCCGAAGACGAGGTCATGCAGCCACGATCCAGAAACATCACAGATCTCCCGCGCTGGAGATACAGAAGTGTCCATGATGACACCACGCAGTGAGTCAGTGGGTGTCTTCGAGCTCGAGAACATGCCGCCCATGCCCGACTTTGCATCTGGGTTTAAGCGTAGCTCGCACTGTAATTGATTCTTCTTGTCTTCGAACATCATGTTGCCCATAATGTCGACGGTACGGTCTCCCCACAGCAAGCCACCGATCTGCAAGTAAGGCAAGTTGTATTCAATAGTTGTTCCGGGAAGGCTCTCGGAGTCAGGGAATGTCACTCGTACAGGACCCTTGTTAGTGTTAAGCATTGCATTCGATTTGACGCTCATGCTAGCGTGCCACAACACAAATCCAGCAATCGAATACTTCTCACCAGTAAATTGGAAATTGCTAATAGGTGGGTGGTGGCTCGTGTGCTCGCAGCTCACATCAGTGCCATCGTTCAGCTCAGCCTGAAACGTTTCCCCCAAAATCGGATTAAATGGCTTCAGCTGTCCAATACTGTGATGCAAACCAGCCACAGCAAATGTAATGACGTACTTAAAGCGCTCCAGCGCATCGTCTTGTGTAAATGCAGCATTCAGGAATGTCGGCGCGTACAACATAAGGTCGCACACCCGTTCCAAGTTCGTTCGAGGCTCAAAAATACGCACAGGTAGTGACAAACTCACTGCTGATTTGCCTTCTAAAATTTTTGCTCCAGCCGATTTGATTACATCTTTTACCACACCGCCCTGCTTCTTGGCAATTTCTTTATCGATGAGTTTGAGACCACCACTGGGTAACGGTATCATACCGCGCATGTATGACTTTGGGTGGAAAATAGCTGATGATTCATCATCTGCAATACCTCCCAAACCACTTCCGTCGCTATTGTCTTCAATCCCATTGCTTCGAGTGTCGAACGCTCCTTCTTCATCCTCGTCAATATCACCGCCAAATCCGAGCTCAGATCCACACAACTGTGCCTGGTTGACATACTCACTGAGAACTGACACACAATCCAAGCGAGACAGTAAATAGTGTTGACGCGTCCTGGGTCCCACCCAACCCTTCATATCCAAATCGGTCACGTAAGTTGCTAGTGTACCGCGTCCTGAATCAACAGGCTGAAGTAGCCAGCCACTGAGACCAACATGTGCACGCACTGAGCCCGAGATCACGGGCTTCAACTCGTTCACGACTGACTTTTCTAAAATAAGCACAACTGACTGACCCATCTCAGCCTCGGACTTGTCTTCACTCATCTCTTGCGACTCTGGTACAGCAGATTCGCGCACATGACGAAGAAGAAGTAAATCACGTGGAGTCGTCAACGCACTGTAGTCTACACTACACATAATGGCACCGATGGCTGCTGCATACACCATGGCCGATATAGTTGACTCCCACGTTGAAGAGCTTGAAAAGATGGCAGCACACAATGCACAAGCTGCTGCTACCACATGAGGCGCCACGAATGGCTTTGTGCATTGAATTTGCGAAAAACTGCCGCTGGATAGGTATATTAAATCAGTAGCATCGTCAAACGTGGCGACATGGGCTGAATATGGGAAGTGCATGTCCCACTCGGCTCGACGCGCGTGGTCTGACAGCAGAATGGCGGCAACTTCGGATGATATGGGCAGCACGATACTGGCGCGTGCATACTCTTTTCCCGAGTTTGAGTCGGTCCCGAGACTGCGCAACACTCCATTGACTGCGCCAATTGGACGAAACGTTACGTGATGACGCGCCGAAGACGAATTTGTTGCGTTGTTGCTGCAAAGGAGCGCTTCGAGCACGTCTAGACCATGAGATAGCTCGTTTTCCAGCGAAATGGTCGTCGGTAAATGTTGTGTCTTGCTTCGATGAGCACGGTGGTGATGCGCATGAAGAGACGGTGCGGGAGTGCGAAGGGAATTGTTTATCGCCGACGGAGCCGATGTTATTCTTGTCGTACGCTTTGTATCATCATTAGAAACTGTTGGAGCACTAGATATGGCTGCGGAGGACGCTGATTTAAGCGCTACAGTGCGAGTTTGAGAAGGTCCTAATGACGTTGCACGTTTCAAATGCAAACGACCGTCCTCGTCATCAGAAGAAGACGGTGCGGCCTGACTTCTGTGCTGTCTCCCTTTATTCTGAGACGCTTCCGTAGCACTGAGCTCAGTTGTGGCATTGTTGACACGTGCTACAGCTACTTGAAGAACGTCCAGCCACTGAGTCACAACGATGCCTTCTTCTGCCGATAAACAGTACATTATACCAGTGGCCGGGTCTGTTAGGTAGATACGAGGCGAGTTCCACGTTTCGCTTAATCCACCATCCTGCACAGTGCACCCTTCCAACGGAATTACGGCGTTAGGCCTACGATCCTTTCTCGAAATGTAGTATGAAAGTGTTCGTCCATCACAAACAAACCAGCGGCGCTTCCATCCTTTCAACCGTTGACCTTTTTTCTGAAGAAAACCTTCTTTCATGTACCGTGGGTCGTACTCGGGCATGGCCTCTAAAGGTACCCGTTCAGGCCACTAAGAAAGGAATGATAAGATTGTGAGATTTACTAGTATCACGTCAAAAAGTCTTTAGACGTACGTCGTTGCTAACAAGATCATTAAAGCGCTGCTGCGCGTCCTGAAGTGCCTGCATCGCTCGGTCTCGCTTGCGTTCACGAGCGACTGCCCCGACGTCGCTTCCGTGTATGTGGCCGTTCTGGTCCTTCGTGGTGGGCGTCTGCGCCTAAGAAATTTGCGTACCGCGCCGTAGCAGGGAAAGAGGCGGAGTGACGCGAAAGCGTTAAGAGTGCGGAGTAGGCCACAGCAAATCCTGTCCGACGTAAAGAGTCCTGTGTTGGATCGTGATGGCCTTGTTTTGCACTTTTTGTCCTTTTGTGTATTCGATGAAAGAGGTTTAAGGAGTCTTCAAGAGCTCATATTCTATCGATATACATTTCTGAAGATATATAGTGTCATGTGCTTAGAGGCTGGAGTTGAAGAGGCACGACGTATCACAGATATTAACTGCGAGACACCAACGCTGTTGTAACTACAAGACGTTGATCTCGCTGATCCGTCAATAAACGAGAAGATACAAGTCAACATCACAAAGTATGAGCACCGCCACATATCAGGTCCATTGCATTTATATACTTTCCACAAAGCCTGTAAATTTGAACCGTAGTGCTTGTAGACGCCTGACTCGAAAAAGGAAGAATTTCGGAAGTATTTGGAGAAGAGCGGCGTTGTGGATGCACTTACTAAAGTATTAGTGGGTCTATATGAAGAATCGGATAAGCCACCAAATGCTGTGGACTACGTCAAGCGCTTCATGGGTGCCCCAACAGGCATCGACGTCGACGCGTTGCGAGCCGAAAACGAAGAGCTCAAGAAGAAAAATGCAGAGCTTATTCAGACGATTGAGGAGCTAAACAAACGCGTAAGAAGATCTATGCTAGATGATGCAACGTTGATTTGAATTCACTGGTTGTTTGTATTCCTAGCTTACAACGGAAGAAGAGGAGGAATCCTAATGAACTGGTAGATTTGAGCAAAGCCCGCTGCGATTGTATATGTTTGACTGATTGCTTATCTCATCAATGCACTCTCCACTACAATTACAGCATAATTCTTGATTAGCTATTGTCTAGCACTTACGTACACTGCGCCAAAAGCTCCGTAATGTTGTTTTGCACCGACTGTTTTTGGCGGTTGAGATAATTTTTTCGCGCCTCAAGGGACGACATTTGCTCGTTCAAGAGCTTATTTTCATTCGTCACAGACGCAGCATTCTCGTCATGACCAGTTTGCATAAACATCTTGCCGATGCTGCGATATGTCTTAATGCCCTCAGGCAAATCAATTAGTTCCCGCTCCACAAGCGCTAAACGCTTCTTTTGTCGAGAAAATGCCGCTAGCTTCGCCTCAATCTGATCCGATTCATGCTGAATCTTTTGAAATTGTGGCTGAAGTTCCTGCAACTCTTTAGCGACGTGCGCTGGTACCTGTCGACTAACACCCTGTGGCGAAGAAGTGCTCGAGAGCGTGACTTCTTCATTCAGCTGGCGCAACAACTTCTTGATACCCGGGACTTTATCTGGGTTTGAAGCTGCAGTCAGCGCTATCTTGAGCGTCTCAATTGCCTCTTTCTTTCGGCCAAGTTGTTGCTGTGCATTAGCTAGGCGATGGTAGCCTTTGGCAAATGTAGGGTTCCGCTTAACACATTCCTGAGCATCCTTCTCAGCCAGCTCCCAATTACCCATGGCGCCGTATGCGGCACTGCGATTGGAGTAATAAACATAATTGTTTGAATTCAAGCGGATGGCCTGTAACAGTCAAAAATCCTTAGGTTATCATTGTTGATAATCGCTCTCGTGACAAACACACCTCGGAGTAACACTCGACAGCTTTGCTGAAGTTCTTGTGATTAAACTCTTCATTACCGAGACTGGTGGATCGATAGGTAGGAAGCAAAGAAGTTAAATAGATGATGAATTAATGAAATACAAAGTCACGCACGTCTTCTGCACTTCAGCGTCGTCCTCGGAGCTCATAGCGAAAAATCTCCACAAAAAGTAAATATATCGGTATTTGCAACACAAATACCGGCTCAATCTATCAGGATCAAGATTTCCAAAAGTTTCTTACTTGACAAAACAGAAGTCTTGAGGTAGCTTTTAGCCATGCGCCTTTAGCTACGTATAGTATTCTATGGTGAGCACGCTTCCGCAGAAAAGGCGAGTCAACAAACGCACAGTAGACAGAACGACTTGGGATCAACAAAATGAGGCACTTTATTTGAATAAAGTGAGTAATCAATTCAAATGTAAACTCCCTTTGAGCAAAAAGACGTGCGTGAGCTGCGATGGGCATTTTAATACGAAAAATCTGATGCTATTGAAGCAGTACTTAGAAATGGTGTAGATAAGCCTCCCAGGAATCCCGCAAGCTCAGAAGCGTTGTTGCAGCGGAGCTGCCGTAGCTCTTGCGCTTGGAGAAAACTTAGTTAAGGTCGGCGACCTTCGTTCTATACTTAGAACTAGTACAAGTGTAGCGAATTGCAATTCGCTTACTCCAACAGTCCTACAACCGTATCCCAAGGCTAAGTAACTCTTCCGTTTAAAATGTATTTTGCGGCAAAGCCGTCTATATCTAAATCTATAGGCTTTCTGTCTACAAAGTAAAACCAAATTCAATGTTAAAGTACTGGCTGTTCCAGCCACGTACTGATATCTACTTCAAATTTAGCCGCACCATTGTGTGGTCACACCATCGTGTGTAACCCACACCATCTTGTGTGACCCCGTTATACTCTCCCCATCAAGATTGTGAACATCTATAGCTCACATTCAACTGTCGCCTCGAACGAGACTCGCGTGTCGAAGACACCACAACATCAACAGGACCTTTTGACATCTGTCTGCTCAATGGACGCTGTATCGAAGACACGGAAGACCCAGCCTCGCTGTTCCCGAGAACGCCCACGGGCAGAGCCCTACATCGACTCCTGCACGCGGTGCAACTTCAGACAGCGCAACGCGCCCGCCACTAGCGATGATTTACCTCGTCGAAGATTTGGAGGAAGTTGATCACAAGTCGGACACTCCTTTACCGGGATGAGAAGAAAAAGAGGGCGAGGTGCCCCAGCGCCGCGACGTGAGACCTGCTCGAACCTTACGGACGCCGTGTCCCTTCTTCGAGCACTGGACATTCGATGAAAGTGGTATCATTACCAATCACCTTGACGGGGCACAGAAGCAGCAGTTGGAGGCTGCCCGCAGGGCGGCTCTCTAGCGCTCGGATCCGCGGTCAATTTTTGACCCTCGTGTGGAATACGGCTTCCGCCGGCGGATCCCGCGGCAAAAGCAAAGGACGCGATCACATGATTGCTGGGAGTCTATGTGGTCGGGCTCTAGGCAAAAACTCAAGCTGAGCTTGGGTAACTTTCTGTCGCTGTGGGTTGCAAGTCACTTGGTACATGAATGTTCACCATGTCCAATTGCCATTGCAATCCCTTCCTATGTATGTGACCTTGACGAACGAAAAGCTCTCCGGGCTCGCTTATTGGTACATCAAGAAATCCCAATCGATAGGTTCCACACTTGATAAAGTGCTCAAAGATGAGGCGCTCCTGTCCCCACGATGCGGACGATATCTGTAGTACTCGCCCATTAAGAACCGCTGAAGATGATGAGAAGCTCTTTGAGCGATGGGTGCAGCGGCACCGGGAATTTTCTCGCTGTTTACCTTACAGCGAAGCCACATGGAAGTGGACATGCGCATAGAGCGCCATCTCCGAATTTGAGTTTGCCATCCTCAAGATGCGACGCCGACTTCCTGCGTAGTATCGCCCTACGACACATGGAATTATCCGTCACGCTCACGCAAACTTTGTGGTCTCTCAGACGGGTGAGAATGTAACCGCAGCAGCTCAAGGCCATAGCTTGAGCTCAGCCCATGGCCCTTCGGCTTCCCTGGCTAATGCCAAGAAGCTTGGTGCGTACGACGACACGGAATGTCATCATCCCTCTGATCACAAGCGTTCGTGACATCGGGGCAGTCTTGCCGAAGTGGCACTTTAAACTCCCACGAGGTTAAACCCTGGCTACGACGTCGAAGCACTGGGTCGATCGCCGTCCGGCGACTTGCGATGCTCTTCAAGCTCTTAAGGACGAAGTTCGTCGCAATCGGGACTCCGTTGAGGTTCGTGCTGGGGTCGCATACCGCTGGGCGGAAGACGTCAAGTGCTTGGAGCACGTTGGGCACCGGCTGCCTCACGTTGAGGAATATCGCATTCTGTCGGAGCGACTCCTAGCCGTTGAGCAGACGAATGCGTCGATTCATGCGATGGTGGAGCTCCTTGCGCCGTTGGAAACGTAAATTGTTGCACTCCGTGCTCAGAACAAGATGCTGGTATCGCTTCTGGGTGATCGAGCGTCTGTTGGCGCCGCTTCGGCACCAACGCTTCCGCGTTTACTTGTGCCGGATCCGGGTACGGCTTGAGCAAGCCCACATGATACACCTGGTGAGAGCGCACCCGTTTCGGAAAGTTTAGGGTATACACAAGGCCACGCTTGGCCACAACTTGAAAGGTCCGAAAAACCGTGGACGGAGCTTCGTCATAGACAGCAGAAATTGTATGTGTAGGGAGGTTCTTTGAAGTTTATAAAAACCAGGTCCCGGACCTCAACGTTTCTAACATCGCCTCTACCTCTTCTGTCTGCATGCATGTCGTAGCTTTCGGCCATCTCATCCCAAACGTGCCGTAAGACACTCAGTCTGGTAGTCAGGAAGTCATGGACTTCTTTACGGACAGTGAGAAGGCTGACATCAGCTAGCCGCTTGGAAATTCCTCTCCCACCAAACCCTGAACCATAGGATGTCGGCGTCGGCGGGTCGCGAGGATGAACGATCCCGTCCGCGTAGAAAAATGCACTGCATTGTTCAGAGCGAACTCTACCAGTGGTAGCATGGCACTCAGCACCGTGGAGTCACTGCGGAGACACTGCAAAGAACGTACTCGAGTACGCGATGCACGCGCTCATTTTGACCATCGGTCTGCGGATGATCCGCTAGTTGACATCTCGAGCTTGGTGCGCAGCACCTTAAAAGTTCGTCGACCAAAACTCACCAGTGAAGTTTGGGTCTCTGTCAGAGACAATTGACTCTGGGAGTCCATGTTGTCGAAAGACACGATCTACTCGCAGCGTCGCGGTACCGACACCGTCGATGGTGCCCGCACCGCCGCAAGATGGACCATCTTGTTACAACGGTCGACGAAGACCACGACACCGGTGTTGCCCGCCGAATCTTCGGCAGGCCAAACACAAAGTTCATACGCATGGACTGCCAACACTCGGAGAGGGTATCACCCTTTTACACATCTCGCACATGCGCACACAGGTGCGCGTCCATTTGAACAGCTTGGACCACCAGTAGTGGCAACTTGTAACGGGACTACACGTACCCTTGTATCGTAGGGTGGGTCACACAAGATGGTGTGACCGTACAAAGATGTGGGTAACACAAGTCGGTGTAAGCACACAATGTTGTGGCTGCACCGCAACAAGAAGCCACTACGTGGCGGGACTGCCAGTAGCAATGTTTTACTTTTCAATCAGAAACGCCTAAATTTTTAGATATAGGCGGCTCTGCCGCAAATAATTACAGCTTCAATCTTGAACGGGAGATTAATTTTCCTTTGTGAGAGTTTTGGGTACTCTAAGAGGTAGCGGATCGCGTCCGCCATACTCGTTCTAGTTCTGGTTCTGGTATGGAACGTAATGTTGGTGATCTTAGCTTAACGTCCTCTAGGCAAAGGACTAAGGCAGCCCCGCCGCATAACTCATAAACTAGTAGGTCTTTTACGACCAAGATGACCCCGGAATGGGGTGTCGTGGGCCTCATAGAGGATACAATATTTCAAATCCTCATCGTGAGGAGCCACAATTCGTGGCACATTTTTGTCAAATCGGTACCAGTCCATTATACAATGATTTTCGGTGCAACCGTGCACGCAGTCGCGACGACAGCTTCTTTTCCGAGATTCCGAACTTCTTGCTCCCGAGGTAATGTAGCAGCGCAACGCACATATCATCGCCTGCGTATGCGGCGCGGGTCAAATATGTTATGGACGACGTCATCGTTGTGACATGAGCAAGCTCATAATCTGGTCTACGTGATAACGCGTCAGCCAAAGCATTACTCGTTCCGGCCTAAACTTCACCTCGACGTTTTTTTCTGCAAAGAAGGACAGCCATCTGGCCATCCTCCGCGAGAGGTGAGGTGACTGAGTCGCAGTGCGTAGTGATGCATGATCTGTGTAGATCACGAACGGCTTGGAGCCAAGCAGGTAAGTTCTGAGCTTGACAAGTGCATTTTTCATCGCAAGTAATTCCTTGTCGTGAATAAGGTAGTTCTTTTCGGTAAGCTTGAGCGGGCAAGATTCGAGCGCGATCACCTGATCTTGCCCCTCGGCGTCGGGTTGCAGCAGTGCACAGCCGATGCCAAAGTCCAAAGCATCACAAATGACTTTAAAAGGACGATCGGAGTCTGGAGATGCCAGTATTTGTGCATGAAAGAGGCTGTCTTTGACCCTGACAATAGCATCCTGACGCTCGGTGTCTCAACACCATTCCGGATCCTTCTTAAGGAGATTCGACAATGGCCGAGCCGTTTCCGTATAATTCGCGCTATACTTGTGCAGGTAGGTGGCGAGGCCAAGCCACTCGCGCAAGTTCTTTTGGATCTTTGGAACCGGCCAGTCCACAGTGGCCTTGACCTCAGCGGGATCCGCTCGGATGCCACGCTTCCCAATGAAGCACCCGGTCTCTTCAGCCCCAAAGATGAACTTATCTGCATAAAGCATACATCTTATTCGCGCGCATGCACCCGAGCACCGCTTTAAATGGACGATGTGGTTTTCCTTATCTGTCTTCCCGCGCCTCGCACGATTGTGGACGAATATGTTTGTGCATACACCCAGTAAGGTTGGAACAACTGCGTCACAAAACGATTAATGTTGCTGGTGCATTTGATAGCCCTTGGGGCATCA